CTCTGTACACACACACTGAAAAATTGACAATAAAGTTGACTTTGATACAAAATGTAGTGGACGATAAGTTCATATAGCATAAAATGGTGAAGTACATATAAAAAATAGTTCTTAAGTCCAATACTTGAGTAAATGTACTTCCTCCACTGGTGATTATACTCACCGAGTTGTTGTTGGTCGAGGGTCCGTCGGTGCTGTTTTCCCCCGGAGAAGAAGGGGTGTTTTGAGGTCCTGCGTCCCCCTCCTCACCCTCACCGTTCCTGGACCCTGCAGCTCCATCCTAAATAACACATGTGTAAAAGATCTAAGATTCAAAGACTTTACTGTCATTTGTAAAACATTTTGGCAATGAAAATCTGAAGTCCCAGGCTCCTCCTGCAGCGCAATACACAATATAATTTAGATATAAAACAAGAAATATAACTAAAATAGTGCAAGTCAAAATGCAGAAATAAGATCCTGTTCAGGTGAAGTCTGCAGACGTGACAGGTGGTTTAAGCTTCATTTATACATCCGTTGTCCAAAAAGAGGGGAATTTTCACAAGCAGGTATCAGAGCACGGATGAAGGAGGTTTAGTAAAAGGGTTAACATGCATTTTGTTTAAAGACCTGACAACATATATGCTGTAAAAATAATGTTATTTCTATTTCCACCGGGCATCAATCTGACTCAAATTGTGTGAGGATCAAAGACAGGATTCTGTCTGTTCTGAACCGGTCAACTTATAATTCTTCTTTGTACCTTGCTTTAGATAAATGTGTCAGTTAAAGGGGACCTATCATGCAAAATGCACTTGTGTACGTCTTTTCTACATGAATATGTGTCCCCGGTGTTCCAGGGAACTCACCAAGTGTCAGAAAACACAACCCTCTCTATTTTCCTCCATACCCAAATCTCTAAAAAAGGGGCTGCAACGGATCTGATAAAAACTGATCCAGATTTGAACACTGTCCTGACGTCAGGACGGTGGCGCTACGGCTATTGGGCCAACTCCACCAATCAGGAGGAGACAGCCACGGCCATTGCCGTTCAAAAGCGCTGGAGACGCTGTAGTACATATGCCAGGCCTGTAGGTGGTGCTGTTCTCACTGAATCAACCCTTGCTAAAACAGAGCTAAAAAATGTCAAATTGAGCAAAATGAGGCATGGCTAAAATGCATGATTTGTTTGGTATTTTGAAGAAAAACAAAGTATAAATATGCCTTATATAGGTATGGTCCTACACTATATTATTCAAATATAGCATGATAGGTCCACTTTAAATGAAATGTAAGGTAATATTAAAGTGTAGTTTCTAACCTGTGAAGCGGCTGCTCTGCTGAGCCTCTCCTGCAGCAGAGAGATGTGTTTCTGAACCTCCTGAACCTCCTTCAGGAGTTTAGGACCAGGGTTCCTGCTGTGCTCCTCCTCCTTCACCTGAAACACATCCCAAATACAGAGGTGGAAAGTAACTAAGTACATTTACTCAAGTACTGTACTTAAGAAGAATTTTGAGTATTTACATTGTCTACTTTGTACTTTTACTCCACTACATGTATTTAATACCTTCAGTTACTTTACAGATGTGGATGAATGATATGAAATATAATCAAGTGTTAAATCAGACTTTAGTTCCACCTGGAGTAAATCCACAAGCTACCCTGCAGTATACAAAGTCATTCAAACTAGCTGCACCTTTACCAGCTTTTGAGAACACTTTCATGATCAATCATTATAAAACATATCATATATATTATTCTGAAATGGACCAATCTGCACAATGACTACTTTTACTGTACTTTCACTATATTTTGATGAGAATACTTTTCTACTTTCACTTGAGGAACATTTTGAATGCAGGACTTTTACTGTAACAGAGTATTCCTACACTCTGGTACTTCTACTTTTACTCAAGTACAAGATCTGAGTACTTCTACTTCTACTCAAGTACAAGATCTGGGTACTTCTACTTTTACTCAAGTACAAGATCTGAGTACTTCTACTTCTACTCAAGTACAAGATCTGGGTACTTCTACTTTTACTCAAGTACAACATCTGAGTACTTCTACTTTTACTCAAGTACAAGATCTGAGTACTTCTACTTTTACTCAAGTACAAGATCTGAGTACTTCTACTTTTACTCAAGAACAACATCTGAGTACTTCTACTTTTACTCAAGAACAAGATCTGAGTACTTCTACTTTTACTCAAGTACAAGATCTGAGTACTTCTACTTTTACTCAAGAACAACATCTGAGTACTTCTACTTTTACTTAAGTACAACATCTGAGTACTTCTACTTTTACTCAAGAACAAGATCTGAGTACTTCTACTTTTACTCAAGTTCTCCTTTTACTCAAGAACAACATCTGAGTACTTCTACTTTTACTTAAGTACAAGATCTGGGTACTTCTACTTTTACTTAAGTACAAGATCTGAGTACTTCTCCTTTTACTCAAGAACAAGATCTGAGTACTTCTACTTTTACTCAAGTACAAGATCTGAGTACTTCTACTTTTACTCAAGTACAAGATCTGAGTACTTCTTCCACCTCTGCCCAAATACATCAAGAGTAAAGTGAACAGAAGGACATACTGTACAATGCAAACAAACAACATTGTAAATACTATGAAGTGTGTAGGATACTGTATATAATCCTTCCTATGAACTTGTGTCTCAACCTGCAGGTCTTGCTGCTCCTTGGTTAGCATCTTCTGAAGGAGGTCGACCCTCTCACTGTGCCTGGTTTTATTCTCACCCTAAAGGAGGAAATAATGAGAACATATGTTTAAAAATACATCATTACATCATCATTCTCCTGTAACACACACAGGAAAGGAGCTTGAGGTTCACACAGAGAAAAAGAGAAGTGATACTGATGAGACCAAAGTCAAAAGGGAAATGTGGAAATTCATCATACAGTAAATGATTCCAGCCGTCTAATTTAAGGACTAGAACTGCATGAGAAGAGATAAAGATAATCTCTACAGGGAACAATCTACGTGCATGTATTTCTGATTTGATGTCAGACACATTCAGTGTTACAAAAGGGAACACAAAACCTTGGTTGCTGATTGGCTAATGGTTACACAAGACAACACATCGTTATGACATCATCAAGTGGCCAAAATCTGATCAGCTCATTTTCAGACAGGTTTTTATAGAAATGGATCAAAAAGAGAGAGAATCTTTGTTCCTGAAACTTTCAGAGTCTCTTTACACAGAGGGGACACATGTTGATGAAGAAGAGACATGAAGAAGAGGGGACACATGTTGATGAAGAAGAGACATGAAGAAGAGGGGACACATGTTGATGAAGAAGAGACATGAAGAAGAGGGGACACATGTTGATGAAGAAGAGACATGAAGAAGAGGGGACACATGTTGATGAAGAAGAGACATGAAGAAGAGGGGACACATGTTGATGTAGAAGAGACATGAAGAAGAGGGGACACATGTTGATGAAGAAGAGACATGAAGAAGAGGGGACACATGTTGATGAAGAAGAGACATGAAGAAGAGGGGACACATGGTGATGAAGAAGAGACATGAAGAAGAGGGGACACATGTTGATGAAGAAGAGACATGAAGAAGAGGGGACACATGTTGATGTAGAAGAGACATGAAGAAGAGGGGACACATGGTGATGAAGAAGAGACATGAAGAAGAGGGGACACATGTTGATGTAGAAGAGACATGAAGAAGAGGGGACACATGTTGATGAAGAAGAGACATGAAGAAGAGGGGACACATGATGTAGAAGAGACATGAAGAAGAGGGGACACACGTTGATGTAGAAGAGACATGAAGAAGAGGGGACACATGTTGATGTAGAAGAGACATGAAGAAGAGGGGACACATGTTGATGTAGAAGAGACATGAAGAAGAGGGGACACATGTTGATGAAGAAGAGACATGGAGAAGAGGGGACACATGTTGATGAAGAAGAGACATGAAGAAGAGGGGACACATGTTGATGTAGAAGAGACATGAAGAAGAGGGGACACATGTTGATGAAGAAGAGACATGAAGAAGAGGGGACACATGTTGATGTAGAAGAGACATGAAGAAGAGGGGACACATGTTGATGAAGAAGAGACATGAAGAAGAGGGGACATGTTGATGTAGAAGAGACATGAAGAAGAGGGGACACATGTTGATGTAGAAGAGACATGAAGAAGAGGGGACACATGTTGATGTAGAAGAGACATGAAGAAGAGGGGACACATGTTGATGAAGAAGAGACATGAAGAAGAGGGGACATGTTGATGTAGAAGAGACATGAAGAAGAGGGGACACATGTTGATGTAGAAGAGACATGAAGAAGAGGGGACACATGTTGATGTAGAAGAGACATGAAGAAGAGGGGACACATGTTGATGAAGAAGAGACATGAAGAAGAGGGGACACATGTTGATGAAGAAGAGACATGAAGAAGAGGGGACACATGTTGATGAAGAAGAGACATGAAGAAGAGGGGACCATGTTGATGAAGAAGAGACATGAAGAAGAGGGGACACATGTTGATGTAGAAGAGACATGAAGAAGAGGGGACACATGTTGATGAAGAAGAGACATGAAGAAGAGGGGACACATGTTGATGTAGAAGAGACATGAAGAAGAGGGGACACATGTTGATGTAGAAGAGACATGAAGAAGAGGGGACACATGTTGATGAAGAAGAGACATGAAGAAGAGGGGACACATGTTGATGTAGAAGAGACATGAAGAAGAGGGGACACATGTTGATGTAGAAGAGACATGAAGAAGAGGGGACACATGTTGATGTAGAAGAGACATGAAGAAGAGGGGACACATGTTGATGTAGAAGAGACATGAAGAAGAGGGGACACATGTTGATGAAGAAGAGACATGAAGAAGAGGGGACACATGTTGATGTAGAAGAGACATGAAGAAGAGGGGACACATGGTGATGAAGAAGAGACATGAAGAAGAGGGGACACATGTTGATGAAGAAGAGACATGGAGAAGAGGGGACACATGATGTAGAAGAGACATGAAGAAGAGGGGACACATGTTGATGTAGAAGAGACATGAAGAAGAGGGGACACATGTTGATGTAGAAGAGACATGAAGAAGAGGGGACACATGTTGATGTAGAAGAGACATGAAGAAGAGGGGACACATGTTGATGAAGAAGAGACATGAAGAAGAGGGGACACATGTTGATGAAGAAGAGACATGAAGAAGAGGGGACACATGTTGATGAAGAAGAGACATGAAGAAGAGGGGACACATGTTGATGTAGAAGAGACATGAAGAAGAGGGGACACATGTTGATGAAGAAGAGACATGAAGAAGAGGGGACACATGTTGATGAAGAAGAGACATGAAGAAGAGGGGACACATGTTGATGAAGAAGAGACATGAAGAAGAGGGGACACATGTTGATGAAGAAGAGACATAAATTAGAGGGGACACATGTTGATGTAGAAGAGACATGAAGAAGAGGGGACACATGTTGATGTAGAAGAGACATGAAGAAGAGGGGACACATGTTGATGAAGAAGAGACATGAAGAAGAGGGGACACATGATGTAGAAGAGACATGAAGAAGAGGGGACACATGTTGATGAAGAAGAGACATGAAGAAGAGGGGACACATGTTGATGAAGAAGAGACATGAAGAAGAGGGGACACATGTTGATGAAGAAGAGACATGAAGAAGAGGGGACACATGTTGATGAAGAAGAGACATGAAGAAGAGGGGACACATGTTGATGTAGAAGAGACATGAAGAAGAGGGGACACATGTTGATGTAGAAGAGACATGAAGAAGAGGGGACACATGTTGATGTAGAAGAGACATGAAGAAGAGGGGACACATGTTGATGTAGAAGAGACATGAAGAAGAGGGGACACATGTTGATGTAGAAGAGACATGAAGAAGAGGGGACACATGTTGATGTAGAAGAGACATGAAGAAGAGCATAATAGGGGACCTTTAATAAAGAAATATCACACATTGTTATTTCCTCCTTACCCCGTCAGTGATGGAGGTTTTCTCCTCCTGGACGCTATCCAGCGGTGCAGGAGTTTGGGGGTCTGAGAGAGGGGGGGGTGGGCTGACCTCTGCTGACCCCCCCCTCTCTTCCTCTGCTCCCCCCCCCCTCTCGTCCTCCGGGAGGTTAGGGACCCCCGGGGGCCTCCCCAGCACCGTGAGGGCCACATAGGATCCCGCTGCCAGAGAGGAGTCAAGAGAGAGGAATGTAGGAGGAGGAAACACGCTGAGTCATGCAACACCTCAGAACACACGGGAGGGTTTGGTCCTCGTGTGAAGAGTGCAGGGTTTTTACTGAGTTTATTGTCGATAGAAAGTCCATTAAAGAACCAAATCCTCCACTGGGGAGTTAGTGTACACAGAGAGGACTATATTTAGACTTTATAACCTGGGCAATTACTCAACTGTGCAATACTCGTACCACTGACGTACTATGTGCATTTTTTACATAACTTATGTTCATTAATTTTACTCTAAATTGGAGAAAATGTCTAGAAACATATTTCCCCTGCAGGATAAATACATATTTCTGATTGATTCTGATTACCGTATAACACTGGAAATGTTGAGGAATAACGTTTTTAGCATTAATATTATTTTTAATATTAACTAGTATATATATACTAGGGACTATATATGGGACTCCCAGCAGCTTCTACTGAAGCCTTCAGAGGAAATCGCCAGAACGCCGACACCTCCTCATCTCCACCGCTCCCATGTTATTTTTCTGTTGCCATAAGTTAGTCTCTCTCCGTTGGTGCGCGGGGCTAATGCTAAAGTTCTCTGAACTAAGTTCTCTTTTTGGTGTGAACGCAAAATTCCAGGCACTATCGGAACTTAATGGAAAAAGTACGGGTAAAAGTACTCCGGTGTGAAAGCGCCTTATGAAGTGTTTTGCTCAAAATACCAAACAGATCACCCATTCTAGCCATGCCTCATATCCCTCTATTTCACTTCCTGTTTCTAAAGTGCTGATTTGGGGTATAAAGCTTTAAAAAAGGAGGGGTCTGAGCTCATGCGGGACCCGGCAGCTACTGTCTAAACTAAATGCTGCCGTGATGAAACACCATATCATGGATTATCAAGGATTGTCTCTGAAACAGTATGGAGCTCAAAGGCTTTCTCTCTTGCCGGTTATACCACAAGGTGAGTTCCTTTTTATTTCCTGCTTCTTCACACACATGCTCTCCAGTACAGGTTAGCTCTGAGTGTTAGCGATGCTAATGTAAACACCGACCATATTACGTCCAAAACAGTCGGGCATTGTTTCTGATAGCAACGTTTCTGATAGGGCCGTGGGTCCACATTTCAGATATTACGTCATATCGGACGCAAATCTGGATCAACTCCGTTGTTCCCCCGTTTTTAGAGATTTGGGTACGGAGGAAAAGAGAGAGGGTTTTATTTTCTGACGCTGCGTGAGTTCCCCGACACACCGGGGACACATTTATGTATAAAAGACATCAGAAAGTACATTCCTGTATGAACAGCTGTTTTGGGCAGGACATGTAATTCAGACAGGAAATCTCATCGTTATTTTTGTTATTTTCATTGTTTTTATGCGGTCAGATGTTCCTCTATTCTCAGAGACAGAAATACTTTATTTATCCCTCGGGGTAAAAAGGATTTCGTAAGAGTTGGTCCATTTTAGAATAGACTAAAATAAAATAGTCACAATGTTTTGGATATTTTATCAAGAAAATCAACTGCTTTTTGAGCATTTTTTGGTAAGATTATACTTCTCATGACCCATACACACACATGTAATGTAGAAGAGATGATTAAGTGATACATGCAGACTTACATTTGATCAGCTTCACAACCTCTATGTGGTTTGAATGAGTGACTAAGGTCCCGTTAACCTGTCAGGAACAAGAAGCATCGAGAAAGAATTAAGACTTTGGCATATATTGCTTTAAGGAAAAGGTGTTTTTTTAAATATATTTTTATCAGAACAATACCATGACATGTCCCAAACAACAATGTGTAAGTTAATCTTTCAATAACTTCTCCTTTAATTAACTTCCAGATTAAGAAATATTCAGTTTCTGATCCAGGAAGTAAGAAGGAACTAAATATTTATAAACCAAAAAACCTTAATGATCCTGTCTCCTGTCTGAACACCGGCTCGCATTGCAGCTCCATCTGTAACAGAAAGAAAGATTAAGAAACGTGGCTTCTGCAAGTGTGTGTGTGTGTGTGTGTGTGTGTGTGTGTGTGTGTGTGTGTGTCTTACCTTCTTTAACCAGCTGCACAAACACAGGGTTGTCTCCGCTTACAGTCAACCCGAAGCCATTCTCATCTCTCTGGATTATCACACACCGCTGCACAAGACCTGTCATTTTTACACACACACACACACACACACACACACACACACACACACACACACACACACACACACACACACACACACACACACACACACACACACACACACACACACACACACACACACACACACACACACACACACACACACACACACACACACACACACACACACACACACACACACACACACACACACACACACACACACACACACACACACACACACACACACACACACACACACACACACACACACACACACACACACACACACACACACACACACACACACACACACACACACACACACACACACACACACACACACACACACACACACACACACACAATGCAACTTAACTGTACGATGTTTATTTGTGGGAAAAGTCTTACACACAGGATGTGATCGAGAAGCAGGAAATGTTTTAAATAGAAGCTGCATTTTGTAAAAGAAACTTCAATAATGTAACATTTTGCAAGCTGTTTTGATCTGGACACCAATATCTATCTGTAAACAATTGTTAAAATATCCTAAAACACAGCAATACAAAGGGAACATATTGTAAAATATAGTTTGAAAGAGGCATTTAGAAGCTGCAGTGGATCCAGACACACTTTCATATCTATCAACTCACCCTGTGTTTGTATTGACAGTTGAATTCACCACATGCACAGCTAATGGTTCCCCGTTTAGTCTCCCCTTGTGAAAACCAGTGCCTTAATCTGTGAATGCACTCATGTTCCTACACTAACTTCTCCAAAATCTGCAGAAACAATCTGTCAGATAAAGAAACCTCCCTCATCAGAGGAAGTTTAGTGACTCAGAGGTTTTCTGTCCCTCTTCAAAGACTTATCTCTCGGAGCAGAGAGGATAATTGGTCGTCTTCTGGCCTCCGGGGTGAGCGAAAGGTCAGGAAGGATTAATGTCAGAAACCCAGAAACCCAGGAAACAACCTTTAATACGTGTTGCTGCCTGTGGTCGAGACCTCGGGAGGTTCATACTTCAAGTTTGGAGCAAATGAACGGAGAGAAGACTAACTCTGGACAGCAGACTGTATCTAAAAGTACAGAAGAAAACTAACCATGTTGTTTATGTTGGAGTTACCTCACTGAACTCACATATAACATTTTCTACTCAATCAAACGATTCCTTATCCAAATGAATGTACGACACATTAAGAAAGCAGTGGCGATATAAGTTGTTTAACTGTTAAGAAAAAATGAATTAACTTGAAGTTTCAGCTTAACTGAAATCTTGGTTCAATGTCCCGTCATGTGAAGTTTGTTTTTGTCAAATTTGGGATTAGAAAGCTGTTTTAAAATACAAATAATGAAATGTTAAACCATTTACAAGTACAGTTAAATCGTCACACTGGATCCACAAAGTGCCTCACAGCAAATGACTGTAGTGTGTGTGTGTGTGTGTGTGTGTGTGTGTGTGTGTGTGTGTCCTAGCATTACTATCCTTGTGGGGACCTAAATCTGTTTACACAGTCACGTGTGGGGACTCGCCTCCCTTATGGGGACATAATGGAGGTCATTGTGAGGGGAATCATTCATTTTAGGGTGTGTGTGTGTGTGTGTGTGTGTGTGTGTGTGTGTGTGGGTGTGTGTGTGTGTGTGTGTGTGTGTGTGTGTGTGTGTGTGCGTGTGTGTGTGCGTGTGTGTGTGCGTGCGTGCGTGCGTGTGTGTGTGTGTACCTGTGGGGTCAAACTCATGTTTGAGGGACACAGAGGATTTCTCATTCTTGGGTTTCTTGTCTGTGGGCTCCTTGTTGAGAATGCTGGGGGTCCTAGAGGCAGCAAAGTAAAAAAACAACAAATCTGTTCATGTTTCATGTTGCATTTTTCGTATTAGAATATACTTCACGCTTAAACCGCGCCATGGTGGAAATGCCCTTAGTGAGCCGAGTGTTTATGTTTTATTCCTACAGAATACATGCTGAAAGGATAAGATGTGTTTCGTCAGTATAGTACTATTTTATAAAACATTCTCTGTTGTTTAAGTGTCTGATACTTGATTACCACAAATACCAAATACGTAAAAATGACAAGTAATGAGATCACATATAAGATATAGTCAGACACTGTGTTATTTCAAATTACATTACATGACATGTCACTTGTTAGACGCTTTTATCCAAAGCGACTTACATACTCAATACTGTAGACAATCCCCACAGGAGCAATTTGGGGTGAAGTGTCTCAGGGACACAACGACATGCTGACTGCAGTGGGGTTTGAACCTGTGCTCCCCTGTTCCCAACACCAACGCACTAGTCCACTGTGACACACGCCTCACCTCAAAATCAAGCCTAATGAATCATTAGTTCAAACTGTCTTTACTCACTTGAATTGCTCCTCAGAATGTAATGTTCCTCTGTGGTTTTCTATGCACAGGGTTCATACACTTTTTCACCAATGATTTGCAATGACTTCTCCAGGACCTTTACCTAATTTTCCATGACTAAAAAATTACTCTTTCTCAGCGGTACCACTGAAAATGGTTTATTTTAACATGGAACAGGAAAATAAGGTCTGCATATGAAACATGTTGTGCCTATTTAAAACAAATCAAATAGGCTTTCTAGCTTCTACACGCTAAAGCAACTAAAATCTCACCAGCAAAATACCTCACCAGTTAAATGTCATTTTACGTTTCATTACTATACGATACAGTATTTATTATCATTATAGTTTTACTATTTCGGCGATTAGCTAAAATATAAATTATATTTGATGCAACTTTAGTTACATTTCCATGACTTTTCCAAAACTTCGGGAAAAATATTGTTTTCCATAACTTTTCCAGGGCCTGGAATTTGCATTTTGAATTTCCATGACTTTTCCAGGCTTTTAATTACCGTAAGAACCCTGTATGCAACACATGTTTGTATTGTAATGCCACTCGTATTGTATTCATTTGTGTACTGTGTACTGACATTGACTGTTTTGAAAGGTGCCCTCAAATGAAATGTATTATTGGTATTGTATCTGTGCCTCTCTCACACTGTTAATGTTCTTTTTTTTAGACAAGGTTAACCCTGGTGTCAAGAGGGAAGATCTGCACGGTTCTCTACAGCCCGTGTTCAGCAGAACAGGTGGTGCAGCTGCTGGTCTGGCACCCCCACTATAACTTTGTCCAGGGTAGTTGTACTGTCACCAAAATCACACTGGTGTTTGCTGACCCCCTCTAGTTTGTGCACACAAAAGCATTTTACTCTGGGCTCAGCAGGTGAGAAACTAAAGAGGGGCTTCCTCATGTGGCAGACCAGGTGTTGGTGCTGCCGGATCTGGCACCCCCCCTGTAACTATGTCCAGGATAGTCACACTGTCACCAACATCCCATCAGTGTTGGTTGTTTCCATCTCATCTGAGAAGGTTTTCCATCTCCGGCAGAGCAGACTTTCTATCCTGAGGATAATTAAGACTTTGTATTCGCATGCTGACCAAGTCCTTCCTCTGGTTCTGTGGTACTATCTGAATACAATTACCCTTTTCTCCTGGCAATGAGAAGTCCCTGCTTTTATAAGTTCCAGTGTTTTAAAGTCTTTCAACTGTGCATGAACACAACATAAAGAAGAGTATATGTACCCTAACCCAAATTGTCCAAATGTGTGGTATCTTCTCCATTGATTACAATAGGTTTGTGAAAGCTCATTACAACACTAAGACCAATAATACATTTGTATTGTTCTTAATATAATCATTAATTATGGATGTACTGATTATTTTTTTGTTTTTTTATTCTTTGCCTTTCCAAAGTATTATATCATTATTTAGAGAACACGAAAATAAGGTAATGTAAAGTATTTATTTCACCTTTATTCAGAAGTACTTAAAAACATGTGTCAGCCTGTTGCCAGTACAAAAAAAAGAACTGCCCTGAAAGAAATAACAGTATCAACCAGAAAGCTAATTGTTGTTTTTCATGACCGACTGTCTTAGTTCTTTGGGATAACAGGACAAATAATCAGTACATGCATAATTCATTATTATGCAAAAATACCAATGTCAACAATGATGAACACTAATATTAAGAACAATACACATTTATTAAGCTTATTTACTGTTTTTCATGTTATTGTGGTGTCAGGAACAAACACAACAGACCTAATTCCTCGGTGGAAACACATCTTTATTTGTGTGTTTGCCGAAGAACAATTGATAAAGAAATTCCTTCACGATGTCGACTTTATACTGGCTGAGATTTCATCTTCAAAATAAAATAAATAATACAATTTGACAAAGTTTCAATCTGTGCCAATGTAGGAATGCATGTTAACCCTTATGTTGTGTTGGGGTCTCCCGTGACCCGTTACAAGTTAAAATTATATAATAACTACGCTCTAGTTTTTTGTATGGGAACAAGGCTTCATGATATTGATTACAATAGGTTTGTAAAATCTCATTACAATACGAAGACCAATAATACATTTGTATTGTTCTTAATAAGCAAAGTATTTATTTCACCTTTATTCAGAAGTACTTAAAAACATGTGTCAGCCTACATCATTAGTTGCCAGTACAAAAACTGCCCTGTAAGAAATAACAGTATCAACCAGAAAGCTAATTGTTGTTTTTCATGACCGACTGTCTTAGTTCTTTGGGATAACAGGACAAATAATCAGTACATGCATAATTCATTATTATGCAAAAATACCAATGTCAACAATGATGAACCCTAATATTAAGAACAATACACACGTATTATTGGTCTTAGTATTGTAATGAGCTTTTACAAACCTATTGTAATCAATGGAGAAGATACCACACATTTGGACAATTTGGGTTAGGGTACATATACTCTTCTTTATGTTGTGTTCATGCACAGTTGAAAGACTTTAAAACACTGGAACTTATAAAAGCAGGGACTTCTCATTGCCAGGAGAAAAGGGTAATTGTATTCAGATAGTACCACAGAACCAGAGGAAGGACTTGGTCAGCATGCCCATTTTCGTATTTTGTACATATTTCTTTTACTTTTGCCGTTTTACTTTTAACATGGTTCGCAACATGCTAGCCGACCGCACCTACTCTGCCATACAATATAGCAGAGAGGAACTTCTCCAATTGCGAAACTTCGTGGACAATATTAACCCTCCGACAGACAATGGAGATTCACCATGGCTACCTGTTGCTGTTCTACCTGAGAGACGCAAGAAGAAGACAAAGCGAGGATGCCGGGCCGGGTTGCTGGTCAGACTGAGAAAACGTGAGAATCGGCCCCCTCTTCCGAGTATTCTTCTGGCTAATGTTCAATCCATTGAAAATAAGCTAGATGAACTCAGAAGCCGGATTGCTTTTCAACGGGACATTAAGAACTGTAACGTGTTAATTCTCACTGAGACTTGGCTCAACCCCGCTATCCCGGACTCCGCTATTGTCCCTGACGGATTCTCTATTTTTCGTCAGGACCGGACTGCAAACTCGGGGAAAAGTAAGGGAGGCGGTGTGTGTGTAATGACTAACAACAACTGGTGCTCAGATGTGAAGATTATTTCATCGGACTGTTCCGCACAGCTAGAGCACCTCATGATCTCATGTCGGGCCTTCCATCTGCCGAGGGAATTCACATCTGTTGTGATAACAGCAGTGTATATCCCGCCGCAGCCACTCGCCGACAACAACACGGCACTCGATCAGCTGTTTGGGTTTATTGATAAAACCGAGACTTCACGGCCAGATGCGGCGTTCGTTGTGGCCGGAGATTTCAACACCGCCAACATGAAGAAGGTTTTGCCAAAATATTACCAACACATCAACTTCCCGACGCGCGGGGGAAACATACTGGACCATGTTTATTCCCCTTTCCGGAATGGATATAAGGCTCTCCCTCGCCCTCCCTTCGGCAAATCAGACCATATCTCACTACTGTTGTTGCCTGCTTACAAGCAGAAACTTAAAAGGGACAGACCGATAACAAGGACAGTACAACGATGGAGCGAGGAGTCAGATTCAGCACTGCAGGATTGCTTTGCATCTACGGATTGGAGTGTGTTTGAGGACAATAACATCAACACACACACGGACACTGTCATCTGCTACATTGGGAAATGCATCGATGACGTGGTACCGAAGGTTTCTGTACGGACATTCCCAAATCAAAAGCCCTGGGTAAACGGTGAGGTGCGCGGCAAACTGAAAGCGCGCACTCTCGCGCACACAGCGGGAGATTTGGAGGAGTACAGGAAGTCTAGGTATGATCTCCGGAGAGCAATAAAAAATGCAAAGAGACAGTACAAAGAGAAGGTGGAATCTGACTTCAAAGGCTGTAACACTAGGAATATGTGGGCGGGACTAAGGACAATGACTGACTACAAAGGAGCAGCGGGGGGTGCTGCGGGAGTGTCTGCGTGCGCATCTCTCCCAGATGAGCTAAATAGTTTTTTTGCACGCTTTGAGAGCAGCCAGGCTGTGGAGGTACAGAGGGACCAGGAGCTACACTGCCCTTTTGTTTTAAATAGGGCAGATGTGTGTAAATCCTTTAAAAGGGTTAACCCACACAAGGCTCCTGGACCTGATGGCATCCCTGGCCGTGTTCTCAGGGTGTGTGCAGTTCAGCTGGCAGAGGTGTTCACAGACATCTTCAACAGGTCCCTGCTGCAGTCTGTAGTCCCCACATGTCTTAAACACTCCACCATCATTCCTGTCCCCAAAAAGACAATCATCACCTGCCCCAACGACTACCGCCCAGTAGCACTCACCTCCATCATAATGAAGTGCTTTGAGCGGTTAGTCAAATTATTCATCACCTCCTCCCTCCCTGAATCTCTGGACCCCCTGCAGTTTG